CACACACACACACACACACACACACACACACACAAAGAGTTCAACCAAAGAAACAGGATCATTAGGATATAATACAAGAGATTTCTTGATTGTGGGGCTGGCTTGGCAAGTAGAAATCCTAGGGCAGGTCATCAGGAAGTCCAAAATGGACCTCTCAGCCATGAACTGAAGATGCTACCAACAGGTAGAATGATGTTTTCTTTCAAGGAAGCTTTAGCTCTGCTTTTAAGGACTATCGACTGATTGAATCAGGCCAACCCAGATTATCTAGGATAATACTCTTACACAAAGTCAACTGATTATGGACTTGAATCACATCTACAAAATACCTTCACAACACTTAGGTTTGTGTATGACTGAATAACTGGTGATGGTAGTCTAGGTAAGTTTGCCACATAAAATTGTCACACAGATCTCCATCAGGAGGAAACTGGTTAAGGAAATGATACTCAGTACAACAGAATACTGTGCAGGCATTAGAAATGAGGTTGTTTGTCAATTTATTGAAATGACCTTCAATAACTGTTTCAATGAGCCAAACACCCAGTTAGAAAATAGTATGCATTGTGTTCCCAGTTTTGCAAAATTCTACACAACGCAGAGATATACTAAAGCATGCTCACCAAAATATTAATAGTGGTAAAGTCCTACTACCTTCCACTTTCTCCTTTGGACTTTCCTGTTCTAACGTGTGTTTTCAATGTCCAGGCATTATTCTTATCAGTAAAAGAATGTATCAAAGTACTTATATTTCGAAAATTAAAAAAAAAACCTCTCAAGAATTAAATACTTGTATTAACACATGGCCTATGTAACAAAACATCAAAGTTCTAAATGAGTAAGACAGAGGTTCTGAGACTGATTACTTTAGAATCAGTCACATTTTTTGTGTCAAACAAGAGAAATTGTGGTGTTGGACTCAAATCTTTAAACGGATATCCTAATCAATGTGGTTAGACTTACTTTAATAACTTGGGGAGCCTCTCTTCTTTTTCAAATAGAGACAGGACAGTGATCTGTAACAACCCCCAATAAACGTAGCCAAGTTCAAAATTAAGATAGGGAAATCCCCAGGGTCCACAAAAGAAAAGGAAGTGAAGTCCATGGTGCCAAGTGGGAGCTGAAACTGAAAGGCCCCACAAAGGCTTGGGGAACTAGATACAGAGCTAGGGATTCAATATCGAGTGTGGTTGGGAGTCTAGGCCTCAAGCACTTCGGGAGACATAAATGTGAACAACAGAAACCAGCTAATCCCAGGTGTTACCACTATCTTGGGACCACCTTGAGGACCCATGCCGTGCAGGTTAGGTGTAAGCCCTACCTGTGGTCTTTCCAGTTTTAGGAGACAAGTACTTTCGGTTTAATCTGCTGAGATTCAGTACAAACAATTACCTTGGAGATGACTTAATCCAGTATTTGGTAAGTTTAAAAGAAAAAGAAAAAAAAAAAAAACTACAAGTCCTAGATTTCTGATCCTATGTATACAGAAAAGGTAATATAGCAGTCCTGAGACTGAGATACTTAGAAAGGCCTGCTTGCAAAGCTGGACTTTGGCTGGTGTCAAGCAACATGAATTTGGGGAGAGTTTCCACCATTCCATAACTGCTAAGAGCCGTTCACTGTGCCTAAACTATACAATGTGATTTGTTCTGAACAACTCCTCTTCCCTATTGAAGACCGGAATTTTGTTACGCGCTAAGCAGACGGTACCTACGTGACCACCCCCCAATAAGAATCTCAGATACTGGTCTCTAATGAGGTTCTATCGTAGACATTTCACATGTGTGGTCACCATTCAATGCTTATGGAGTTAAATGGGTCCTATATAATACCATGGGGAGAGGATTCTTGGAAGCTCGTGCCTGGTTTTCCCTTCACTGATCTTGCTTTGTATCCTTTCACCATAATACAGTCCTCAATCCAACTACATTCTGAGTCCTCCAAATCACAGAACCTAAAGATGGTCTTAGGGACCTCTAAACCACTATGCAAATAGACAGCTTGGGTCTTAGTAAGCACCTGGTATCCCGTGAATCGAAAACTAATTATGCAAATGAATCTATTTGATATACTTTGCTAAGTAAAGTCCTTTAACCCAATACACTTAAAATATCACGTGTCCAAGAAGCATGGGATGGCATCCAAAGCTGCTTTCTCCTTAGAGGCTCCACTATCATGCTATGTTCCCTGCCCATGTACATCTTTTCTTCAAGGAATCTTTTTCTTAACCTCCACAACTATGTATACCCACTTTACTTCTATCTCCAGTATTTGCCTGCTCCTTGGCTTATGGCTAATGATGCATCACACGCATTAACTGCAAAGACAGTTGATCACGCTCATTAATTTATCTGTGTATTCAAACAACAGAGAATTTGTTTTTGAATATCCAGTCCTATTCCTTAATTTTGATCTTATATGCCATAAGATAATGTAGCACAATCTTATTAGGAGTCCATAACTGTAAAGGATTAATATTAATTAACTGCTCAAATTCTATTGTATATAATTTACCAGTTTGATCAAACTGATGCTGAGAAATGAACACACGTAATTAATGGAATTACATAATGGAAAACACTCCTTGCCAAAGAAGATCATTAATAAGAGTAACTCCTTCCACATTATAGTATGTATATGTACACACACCACATACACAGAGATTTATGAATTTGATTACACTATGAGGGCCACAGTGTGACTTCACGAAGTCCATATTATGTTCTTCTGTTATTAAATGTCCTTGCCATCACTTTAATGGCTCCATGTTATCATGAGAATATATAAAATTTAAACAAATTCCTATTGATGAACACTTGTTATTTATATTTTAAAAATTACGTGGCATTATTGATATGGTATTCACCTTTTGTTTGAATCTCATAAACCTAAGTTCCTATACTAGGATTTACAGATCAAAGACTTGCACCTTACACATTCTGCTATATACTGCTTTTCTTTTTTTTTTTTTTTTAATGTTCTTCTCTTCCTGAATTAGTTTATTTATTTATTTATTTTTTGTGAGGAAGATCAGCCCTGAGCTAACATCCATGTCAATCCTCCCCTTTTTCTGCTGAGTAAGCTTGGCCCTGGGCTAACATCTGTGCCCATCTGTCTCCACTTTATATGGGACGCTGCCACAGCATGGCCTGACAAGCAGTGCATCGGTGTGCGCCCGGGATCCGAACCCCAGGCCACCAGCAGCAGAGCACACGCACTTAACCACTACACCACGTGGCCAGCCCCTATATACTGCTTTTCAAAAGATGTGTTCTTACCAAGAAAGAAAGGCATGTAAATGTCATTCCTGCACCAGTAATGAATACCTTTGATGAAATTACCAAATCCCAACAAGTATTCCTGTTATTTATTTCACGGGGATGAGGGAAGAATATAGGAAGTTGACAAACTAAATGTCCTTCGAATTTGGCAGAGCCTCTACCAGGGAAGTCTGATAAAAGAAGGGCTACAACAATCACAAGGTAGTCATATCAAAGCCTACATGGAAATACAGAAATTCAAAAATCAATGATGAATTCAAGATTAACTAAGAAAATTTTTGTCACTGATAACTAAACCTGACACTTGCAGTGTGCTACTTTGAACTTCTGCCTTAACATTGTTGAAAAATTTCAATTGTGATATGTGCAGTAGCCGGTTACTGGCAAAGTTAAAATTGTTTCAGTCTGTACCGTGAGAAAAATCACAAAATAGAGTTGAATTTATACTGTATACACCAATGGAACCTAGATAGAGACCCAAATAATAAGAACCCAACCTCAGAACAGGGGCTGAGGGTAGGCCAGGAGCCAACTTCAATAGGATATGCCAAAATAATGCTGTAGAACATAGTTCTGCATTTCAACTCATATTTATTTCTCTGAATTAAGCTTATTTTTTGCAGGTTTCTTCTTCCAGATACAACTGTTAAATATGGTACATTTTCTCCCCTTGAGTCATTTAACAAACAAGTACCGAGAGCAACATTATGTAGATTCAACAGCAAACAAACTCCCTGCCCTCCGGGAGCTTACATTCTAGTGGACATCAGTTTTAACACCCATCATTAGAGTTTTATAAGTGCCTGAACAAATTATTATTTCTAAGGCCTCTTGAGTGATAACTATAATTATCAAGGTTCTGACTGAAGCCCTTACTGCACCACTGGTGTAGTCTTGGGATCACTGGGATATGCTGAGCTATAGGTGAAACACTCCCTTTAATGAAACAAATGTTTTCCCCCCTGTGAGGCTGGATGAAATTGATCACGAACATGGATTCTGTGATGAATTTTAAGATAGGAACTTGAACTGAAGCTCTTACCACACATCCCACATTTGTAAGGTTTCTCTCCTGTGTGAACTCTCTGATGAGACTGTAGATGTGCACACTGACTGAAGACCTTACCACACACATCACACTTGTATGGCTTCTCTCCAGTGTGGACTCGCTGATGAAGTTTAAGATTTGAGGCCTTACTGAGGTGCTTACCACACTCCCTACACATATAGGGTTTCTCTCCTGTGTGGACACTCTGGTGTATGTCAAGATCCAAGCTCGTCTTGTAGCCCATCCCACACTCCTCACATCTGTATGGTTTTTCTCCGGTGTGGACTTTTTGATGAGCTTGCAGGTGTGCTCTCTGACCAAATCTCTTCCCACACTCTTCACATTTGAATGGCTTTTCTCCACTGTGGACTCGCTCATGTGTCAAAAGATGTGAGGCCCATCTGAAGCTCTTCCCACATTCCTTACAATTATAGGGTTTCTCTTCTGTGTGGACCCTCTGATGGCAATAAAGATTTGCCCTAGAAAAGAAGCTCTTTCCACACTCCTCACATCTGTACAGTTTCTGTCCCATGTGGACCTTCTTATGAATATGAAGACCTGAGCTCCAAGTGAAGCACTTCCCACACTCCCCACATTTGTACGGTTTTTCTCCCGTGTGGACCACACAATGACTATTAAGTGCTGATCTACGACGAAAGTTCTTGCCACATATATCGCATTTGAATGGTTTTTCCCCAGTGTGGACTCTCTGGTGGTCCTGAAGATGGTAAGCGTGAATGAAGGCCCTCCCACATTCCTCACACTTATAAGGTTTCTCTCCCAAGTGTAACTTGCAATGAACAGTAAGTGTTGGTCTACGACTGAAGCCTTTCCCACACTGCTCACATTTGAATGGTTTCTCTACGGTGTGGACTTTCTGATGAATTTGCAGACGTGAGCTCTGACTGAATTCTTTACCACACTCACCACACTTATGGCGTTTTTCTCCCATGTGAACTCTCTGATGAATATGAAGTGCTGAGTTATAAAAGAAGCTTTTTCCACACTCATGACATGTATGAGACTTCTCTCCTGAGTTTAACTGTTTATGAAGATCAAAATTGGAGAAATCATTGAAGAATTTTTTACACTCATTTCCCTGGTAAGGTTTCTGGCCTGTGTGAATTAGAGACAGTGCAGCTCCAATCTGGCCAGGTGAATCTCCTTGTTTGTAGAATTGAGAACTCTTTATCATGGAGTCTTGAGACCTGGTTAAGTCACTTGCAATTTGTTGCCCAATGTTCCAGCAGGAAAGTTCTTCATGTGGTTCTGCTTCTGGAACAGCCTCCATCTCATGTCTGATCTTACCTCCTATTAGGACAGAGAATGTAGAGATATGGACAAGTAAAGGGTTTGTTCAGTGTCTTCAAGATTTCAGTTAGAAAAGAACATGAGACTTTAATGAATCCAGGGAATATTCACTATGTCCTTTAGGTGTATCATGGTCTCTGGTTTACGTGCCTGTGGAAACCAAGAGGTAGTCCAGTAGGCTCCTATCCACTAAGCATCAATGAAACCAATTGAGAACCACACCAAGTCTCACACATGAGGTACAAGTTAGAAATCAAAGACTTACTAACAAAAATGATAATACAATACCTAATGTTAATCTGTTGCTATTTCTACTGAATTTTATAATCAGGGTCAACTCTTGGATAATAAATTACGCAGCAAATAAATTATATACACAATGAAGTATGAATCAACACAAACTTTAAGAAAAAGCAATAACACAATTAATACTTCATATATTTGGGTTTATGGTACATATCCTTAGGTAGTAAAGGATTTAATCTTACCAAACAAGGGGTCTGGACTTTGCTCTTGACATCTGAGAGAGAAGCTCTAAGCCTGTGGAATGTCATGTCTGAACAGAGGGCCTGGGCCGGCCCCGTGGCTTAGCGGTTAAGTGCTCGCGCTCCGCTGCTGGCGGCCCGGGTTCAGATCCCGGGCAAGCACCGACGCACCGCTTCTCCGGCCATGCTGAGGCCGCGTCCCACATACAGCAACTGGAATGGATGTGCAGCTACAACATAGACAACTATCTACTGGGGCTTTGGGGGAAAAATAAATGAACAGAGGGCCTGAGGGTCCTGGGTCACATTGGATATGGGATAACAATATGATTTAGAGATGAGGCCAACCACACCAGAATGACCAAGAATATGATTCTGAGCAGGGTTTTCAGTTACCCAGTGGTGTGGACCATGAGACTGAGAATAACCATATGAAACTACTCAAGCTGCAGTGGCCATGGGATGGAGCTCCAATAATTACTCTGGACACTGAGACTCAGGTGAGCTTCCCTGATTGGTAATACCTTGTGTACAATTTTACATCTTCACGTTGGAAAGTAACAGAGGAACATGTCCTTCACTCCACGGAGAGAGGACAGTGGAAGTTCTGTGTCTGGTTCTTCCCTAGACCCCCTCTCATGTGCTTTTTCTCTTGTTTGATTGTAAGGTGTATCCTTCTCCGTAATAAACACTAACCATGAGTATAACAGCATTCAATGAGTTCTATCAGTCCTTCAGAGAACTACTCAATCTGAAGGTAGTTTTGGGAACCCCCTAAACTTGCAGTTGGTGTTAAGTGTGGAAGGTCTGTGTAAACTGTCCCTCTAAACCTTGTAGTTGGCTAAACTTTTTGTAATCTTATATATCAAGCACCCAGAATTATTTATATCTATATATTCAAAATATTCCTGCAAATTCTACACCATACGTGTAGTTCATTTTATTTTTCTATGTTCATACACACAGTAACTTAGAAGATATCTGAAATAGAAAAGGGACAGGAAACTGCAATTTTGCTGTGAAGCTGAAAGTCTGTACCCCACAGGAGTACACAAAGGGTGATGCTCCTGATGAGAAAATTAAAGGTGGCAAGAATCACTAGGGGTGAAAAGAACATAATAGGGCCTATGTAACGGTTTCTTCTAAGGCTTCTGGACTGTCTCTTTTAAAATAGAGTGTGGAAAACCTTTGGATAGAGATAAATTAGGCTTTCACATCAGTTTTTCAGATTGAAAACTACAGCCTTTTAGTTAGCTATAAAATAAATTTAAAATCATACAATGAGCATTTGGCAAAAAGAGTCTAGATAGAAACTCGCAGAGCATCATCACTGGCAGGAATGGGGTCATTGCATGAACTGTCCTGCAAAGTCATACATATAAATCTAAACACACGTGAAATATTTTTTGGTTACACTGAAAGATGCATTTCTTAGTATGGCTTGTGCTCTAAAATGTTTGAAAACTTGGTTCAGGAACTTACCAAGTCCTTAATTAAATAAATTGTTCAAATGAAAGAATAAGTTCCAAGGCTGGAACCCTGAAGAAATACTACTAGGTGAGTGTGCACCTCTTGGTAGGTACTGTAGTTTATGGTTATATTCAATAAATTGTCACTTTAAAATAGTTTTTTTCTGGGAGGAGAGTGAAGTCTCTCTGAGGATGTGACAATCTTGAGTGAGGAGTTTCCTGATACTTTCCAGGTTATAATGTTCACCAATTGAAAATGAAACAATAAATCTCTGTAAAAATAAAGGGAAATTATGTGAAATCATTATTCTTTAGCATCTGTTTAATGGTCAAATCTGTAGAAAATAAAGGTGTAGAAATATACACCGTTTTTGATAAAAAATGATTACGAATAGACAACACTCAGCTGTGTGACTGGTGTTACTTTCATCCTCATTCTTCCCCTTCTAGCATATGAAGGGTAAACTTGCCAACAATGATGTGGATGTAGACTTTGTAAGAAGCAAATGGGCTGCAAAAGGAAAGGGAACTTGCAAACTGATTGTCTAGAGCTCAGGAAATAGAGATTTTTTTCCCATTTGTGGGGGAGTTGTCTAGGAGTAGACATCAGAATCCTTATTAAAAAAAAGAATTTCTTTAGAAATACCATATGATCCAGCTGTTCTAATGGGTATTTATCCAAAAAACATGAAATCAATAATTCAAAAAGATTTACGCACCCCTATGTTCACTGCAGCATTATTCACAATAGCCAAGACACAGAAGCAACCCAAGCGCCCATCAATGGATGAATGGATAAAGATGTGGTATATATACACACAACAGAATACTACTCTGCCACAAAAAAAAAGACAAAATCGTGCCGTTTGCAACAACACGAATGGACCTTGAGGGTATTATGCTAAGCAAAATAAGTCAGATGGAGAAAGACAAATACTGTATGATTTCACTCATATGTGAAAGATAAATGAACAAGCATGTAGATAAGGAGAACAGCTTAGTGGTTACCAGAGGGGAAGGAGGTGGGGAGAGGGTGAAAGGGCTAAGGGGCATATATGTATGGTGACGGATTAAAACTAGACTATTACTGGTGAACACGATGCAGTCTATACAGAAACTGAAATATAATAATGTACATCTGAAATTTACAAGCCAATATGACCTCAATAAAATAATTTTTTAAAAAAAGTATTTCTCCCCAGAAATGAAGATGCCCCCTATGGAAGGCTCCAGGAAAGCCACAGAGAAGGTACGTTCCTCGGTGTGGTCACAATCACAATGCTTAGAAGTTTCCCTGGGATACGGGTCAAGTGCGCATACACACACACAATCACACTAAGAGCATCTGAGTAAGTAGAAATTGGATAGGCAGCCATTCAAAGACAAAAAATGTTCTGTAATATCTTTAATTCACTCTAGTTTATGTATCACTTTCTAGCTGTCTCCATGAGTCATGGAGTGACCCAGGGTAAAAAGAAGCTTTGAGGCCTATGGACTGGTTTCTTACGAGGATTTTGGACTATCTCTTTGAAAAATTTCTCTTTGAAAACTGTGGAAAAACTTTGGATATAGATAAACTGGTCTTTCACATCAGTTTTTCAAATTGAAAACTACAGACCTTTAGTGAGCTGTGAAATAAATTTAGAAGCTTGTAATAAACATGTAGAAAAATAAACAGGATAGAAACTATCAAAGCATCACCATCAGCAAGAAAGACAATAAGGTGTGCCTATCCATTAACTCAATAAATATTTATAGATATCTGCCATGTCCCAGAACTATTGTAGGCACTAAGGATACAGCAATAAACAAAACAATTAAAATTCTCCTCCTGCAGATTATATTTTACTGGGGAGAGAGAAGTGACAGATAAACAAAAATACATGAGATACAACATAAGGAATGTAGAGTAAAGATAGAACGGTATTTTAAATAGGGTGATCAGAAGGCCTGTGTCATATTAAAACTGAGCAGAGAATGAATGAAGAAGGAAAGGGCCAGCAGGATTTTAAGTGAAAGGGTATTCCACGCAGAGAGAAGAAGTAAAGGACTCTGAGAGAGAAGCTTCTATGGTAGACTTAATAATGGTTCCTGAAAGAGGTCCACGTCCAATCCCCAGAACCTACGAACATATTACATTACACAGCAAAGAGGAATTGGGTTGCAGATGCGATTAAGGTTGCTAATCAGCTGATCATAAAAATAGGAAGAGCATCCTGTATTATCCAAGAGGGACAAATGTAATCAGAAGGGTCCTGAAAAGTGGAAGACAGAGGCAGAAGAGCAGCAGAGGAAGAGTACGGAAGAACGGTCAGAGAGTGCAACATCGCTGGCTTTGAAGACGGAAGAAGGGGAATAAGGGCCAAGGAAATGGGCAGGCCCTAGATACTGACAACCAAAGGAAAAGGATTCTCCCCTAGAGCATTCAGAAAGAACACAGTCCTAGAGACACCTTGATTTTAGCCCAGTGAGATATGCCCGACTTCACACCTAAAGAACTAAAATATAAGAAAATTTTGTTGTTTAATCTGCTACGTTTATAGTAATTTGTCACGGCAGCAAGAGGCAATATACAGTATCCTTGGCAGGAATGAGGAACAGCAGGGGGGACAAGGTGGGTGGAAAAATGGAGCAACAGGGAGAGGATAGGAGATGTATTCAGAGAGGGAGTGGGGGACTCCAAGAGCCACTTTAAGTGGTTTTAAGAAAAAAAGAAGCCATGAGGGATTTTGAACAGAGGAGTGCAATCTGACTCACTTTTCCTCAGGATGACTTTGGCTGCCATGTGGAGAACAGATGTAGGATGGGAAGAGTGGAAGCAAGGCAACCAGTAAGGAGGTGGTCACAACAATCCAGGAAAGACGTTTGGCAATTTAGAACAAAGTGATGGAAATAAGCACAGAGAGAAGTAGACCAGGTGTGAGAGCAGCCTCCAGGACTCAGAGCTGCTTGCTCTTACCTGAACTCTCTTTTCTTTGGGGTGCTATCTTCATCACCCAAAACTTTTCTTCCCTTACAAAGTGGAACATGTCTTGTGTGAATGGTTGATGCCCCACGATCATTCAGAGTCACATACTTAAAACCAACACATTCTAGGTAAAACTTACTGGAATATTAGGTTCCCACTGCATACTCTTCAAGTATCAGATGCAGCATTTTTCAAACACTTTTTTTCATGACCCATTTGAAGAAATATCATTCGTCAAGACCCATACATATATGTAAAATGAGTTAGGCAGTACTTTCTCCTCAATTTTTTGGAAGAGTGTGAGAAGGACTGATGTTATCCAATTTATTTCATTAAATATTGATAGTAAGTCTCCATAAATTGGTTTTATAACTCATGATTGGGATAAAAATAGATAAGGTATAGGAGTATACTGTCCATTTACAGTTCTTCAACAAAACACAAACTTTCCTGTTGATAAAAACCAAAATAATTCTCTCCCTGTGTCCCACGTATATTACAGAAGTCAGATCCCCAAACTCAGGGAACCATTTCAAGGGCCCCAAAGCCTTGAAAACTCCAAGATACAAAGCCACTCCTGGGGGCTGACATTCAGTTAGAGAGGGCTCATGTCCTCACCCACAGAGAGCAGGTTCCTGAAGTTCTCCAGCATCACGTCTCGGTACAGCTCCCTCTGGGCAGCATCCAGCAGCCCCAACTCCTCCTCCGTGAAGACCACAGCCACATCCCTGAACGCCACCGCCTCCTACAACACCAAACACATGTAACCTCGATCTTACAAGCAGCCTCCACTGGGAGAGCGACAGCGCTGAGCAGATGCTATCTTCTTTGTCACTTTCACTCAAACAGAATGGCTAACACTCCAGACCCTTGCTTGGTTTACTGTGTGAACCTGAGCAGGTTTCTTCTATTTTACATATTTAAATGGAAGATGAAATCAAGAACCTCCTTATCTAACAGCTCTAAGGAGTAAATGCACAGACAGAACTAAGTGCCCGGCAAATCCAGCAAGACTGGACGTTTTAAACTAACGTTAGACCTTAGTTCATAAATGGAAGCAACCAAGGTGTCCTTCAGGCGGTGAATGGATAAACTGTTGTCCACCCAGATCAGAGCATAATTTAGTGCTGAAAAGAAACGAGCTATCAAGCCATGAAAGGAGATGGAGGTACCTTAAATGCATATTACTAACCAAAAGAAGCTAGTCTGAAAGGCTACATATGGTATGATTCCAATTATGTGACATTCAGGAAAAGGTAAAACTACGGAGACTGTAAAAACATCAGTAGTTGCCGGGAGTTGGGGAAGGGAGGGATAAATACATGGCGCACAGAGGATTTCTGAGCAGTGAAAGTACTGTGTATGTGATGCTATAATGGTGCGGACACGTCGTCATACATTTGTCCAAACCCATAGAACGTACAACACCAAGAGTGAACCCTAATGTAAACTGTGAACTCGGGGTGATAATGTGTCAATATAGACTCATCGACTGTAACAAATGTACCACTCTGGTGCGGAATGTTGATAATGCGGGAGACTATGTATGTGTTGGGGCAGAAGATATAGGAACTCTGTTCCTGCTGCTGGATTTTACTGTGAACACAAAACTGCCCTAAAAAATAAAGTCTTTTATGAAAATACACACACAAACCTAAAGTTATACGTTACTCAGAAAAAACCTAATTAATACACAAAGGAATAAAAGTAGGTCAGTAAGTAAAAGACATGCAGGGTATGACTCAGACACAGGAAAAACAGAATCTAGCTCCTCCTGCGTGAAATTCTCCAACAATACTTGTGTAAACCAGCAGTTAAGAGTCGACTGCGTTGTGCTGTATTTAAATATTCTATCTATAAAACTCCAATGTGGCACTTATCAAATGCACTTTTTCAATATTGAGCTCCTAGTACATCGAGGACAAAAAATAGGCAGATTATTTGGAGAACTGATTTTTTGTTGCAGGTAGGAAAACTGTCACTGCATTGTCAATTAAAACAATAAAACTCCTAAATGACCTTAATGTCTGTGAGTGGTAAGTAGTTAAAAATAAAAAAGTGTATCAATTTAATAGGAATATAATATAACCATAAACAACGAAATGTTACATAATATTAAATGAAAAAGCATAATTTAATATTACATGTATATTATGATTATTAATAAAGCTATAAATGCACAGGAGGAAAAGAGTATGAGAAAATAAAAATAATTAATGCATCAGCAGTGAAGTAATCAAGTGGGAGAACGGGTCATTCCTATTAACCTGTCCACACTTATTTTTTAAATAAAATGAATAACGACAAAATAAACACTAAAAACAAATACAAAGTAAACAGGTCTTTAAATGCTTGGTCTTCTCAAGTCATTCCAACAAAAAAAACCCACACATGGTACTCTGAGTAGCGAGATGGATTTTATCAGCAAGAAAGGCAAGCCGTATGCACCTTGAATGTGGTCATTTTTTCTTCCTACTCCTGCAGATGTACAGAGTCCTGAGATACGGAGAGTCTTGGTAGGGCAGAACTATGCCTGGTAGTGTCTGGAAAGGCAGAAAAAGGACATGAGAGGGTGACCAGGGATGCTGCTCACCTACATGAATGCTTATTGTGAATTAGCCAAGGAGCCCCTTCCTTGGGGTGGCTGCTGCTGTACACAGCTTGAAGAGCAGATCATGGCATGGGTACTCTATTCCTGCACACACACACACACTGAGAGCCTCGTGGCTCTCAAGGTGGCGATTCGGATATGACGGAAAGTGAGACAATATAATGTACCAAGCAAGAGGCATCTCTGGCACAACGCTATCTGGGTTCAAATCCTAGCTTGGCTTCTCACGAGCTGTGTCATCTTGGGCAAATTAACAACATCTCTTGTCCTCAATGCCATCTGTGCAACTGGGAGAATAATACTCCTAACTCTTGGAACTGTTGAGAGCTGGAGAGCACTTTGCACACTTATCAGGGTTTGTTAAGCTGTAGTCACAAAGATGACACTCTGTAACATGAAACTGCTCTTCTAAATGTGATTTCTACCGAAAGACATTATACGATACGTGGACTTCTGATGTGATTGTTCTGTCGTGTGAAAGTCACTCATAACCTCCGAGAAATCTGTTAACTCCGCCTCATTGTCTTCCCTGATAATGTGTTACCTTAGCAGTAATTTTTAAATTGTTGTAGACACCTTTAAAAAAAAAAAACAAAAAACATTGGTTTCTGGTGTTTATTAAGAAACACAAGATTCTGGAAAAAAAATTTTGGAAAACAGTTTTGGCAGTTTCTCAAAAAGTTAAACCTAAAGCTACCAACCAACCAAGGAATTCTACTCCTAGGCATCTATCCAAGAGAATTGAAAATATATCTCCACACAAAATCTTGCACCTAAGTGTTTATAAAAGTTATTCATAAGAACCTCAAACTGGAAACAACTAAAATGTCCACCTGTGGGTGAAGGGCTAGAGAAAGTGTGGTATGGCCACAATGAAACATTAATGAGCAATAAAAAGGAATGAATTATGATACATACTACAACACACATGAACCTTCAAAATATTAAGTAAAAGAAGCCAGTCAAAAAAGACCACATATTGTATGATCCCACTTAAATAAAAGGTTCACAATACAGAGAGAGAAAGTAAGATAGTGGTTACCTGAGTTGGGAAGAGAACAGGGATTAACTATAAATGGGAATAAGGGGTCTTTTATAGGGATGAAAATGTTCTAAAACTGAATTAAGGTGATAGTTGCACCACTCAGTAATGTTACGAAAATCACTTCACTGTGCAAAAGCAAAGAGGAAATTCTGATCTATAAAATACGTCAATTAAGTTGTTTTTAAGAATCATTTGATAAGCATACCTCATTTAAATTAACAAGACTGGATTCTGAGTCCATATGGATATAGCATTTATATTTGACTGAATGAATAAATAAGTGCGAGAAAAAGGGAAACTCATCTTTATAGTAGAAAGCCCACAAATAATTACGTCTGCCCGTAGGAAACTTTAATTACAAAAAGAAAACTAGTAACTTCAGTAGAGAAATGGAAGAGACATCTCCCTTGCCAAGTGAACAAAGCTGAGATCACCAAATTCAAAAAACATCCTTTGGCTCCTGTTATGTCAACTGAAAAGGACAAGTCACCACTTCTGTGGAATCCCTGCCAACAATGCATAATCTGAATCAAATTGTGAAATGTATCAGGTAAACTTCAAATGATGAACTGTCTCCAAAGTAACTTGCCTACACTCTTCAAAAACATCATGAATAAAGAAAATGAGGAAAGATGAAGAATCATTCCAGATTAAAGACGACAATATGGGCCAGCCCGTGGGTTAGAGGTTAAGTGCGGTGCACTCCACTACTGGTGGCCTGGGTTCGGATCCTGGGCGCGCACCGACGCATGGCTTCTCCGGCCATGCTGAAGCTGTGTCCCACATACAGCAACTAGAAGGATGTGCAACTATGACATACAACTATCTACTCGGGCTTTGGGGAGAAAAAGGAGGAGGATTGGCAATGGATGTTAGCTCAGAGCCGGTCTTCCTCAGCAAAAAGACGAGGATTAGCATGGGTGTTAGCTCAGGGCTGGTCTTCCTCACAAAAAAAAAAAAAAAAAAAGACGACACTATGGATTAAAGGAGAAACATGACAGCAAAGGGCAATCCATAAAATTGGCCTTAACTGGGGGGGTAAACAGTTATAAGAATTTTAAATGAAAAACAAATTTAAATAACGGCTGTGGATTAGGTAACATTATATTAACAATATAATTAATTTTCACGTTTTGATCATGATACTGTGATCACGGAAAAGAATGTCCTTGTGCTTAAAAAATACACACAAATATTTAGGGGCAAAGAGACGCCATGTCTCCATCACAACTCAGATTCTTTGGGGGAAAAAAGATAGATATAGGTAAAAGTGTGAAGAAAAAAAATGGCAAGGACAGCTAATAGCTGGCACCAGCTAGGCATTGGTGTTTTCAACTCATCTTAGATAATTTCGAGAATATCAACAGATTTCAGGCATAAGCACTCGGTCACAACGATGCAACAAGAAACGCAGTTCTTTTTGAGAACTAAAGGCCAAGGAAAGAAAGGAGGCTCTGAAATACCAAATTATGCCTCTGTTTAAAAAACAAAATTCAACTGAGTAAATTTTAAAGATTCTCATTGGTTTTATTCAACAACTCATGAATTGGGCAGCAGCCAATCTAGCAGATAGAAAGGAGCTCCAAGGAACTGTACAAAATTAAATATTTTTATAGGCAAAAGAAAGCAGGAACAAGGAAGTTATACTAGGCAAAAAAGCAGCTTGGTTACTACAAAGCCATTTTCCTTTAGCGGATGGCAGGGGTCTTATCAAGCAGATGACCTAACTAGAGCTGTTCACGCCATTCCTGATTGACTGGAAGAGCCGAAACTGTCATTACGTTAAACCTCACTTTGGTGACCTGGGGCTTAGAAGTGCCTCCATTTTGAGCCTGTTGTCGTCTTTTTAACATCTCCGTAGCTGAGAAATCACAGATATTCTGCCCTCCCCCACCCCCCTCCTTTGCAGCCAGAAATGGTTTGGGAGGAAGCCTACAGAGACCAACGAGCAGTGCCGGTGCGCGGCAGCTGGAGCGCTTACGCCACCCGGCTTCACGATTTTCAGGGAACTGAGTACTTCTCAAAACTAAACAGCACTAATAACAGGAAGCCACCATTCACCACGTGGCAGGAACTGTCTCGAGACTTTTATTTTCACTATCTCATTTAATTCTCAAAACACTGTATAGGAAAAGAGTGATGCCATCCCAATTTTACTGAAAAACATCGGAGACAGAGAAATTTAGTTAGCTCGTGCAGCGTTCTACTGCGGGAAACTGCAGAATGGCTAGAAGGCGCGCAGCTTGGGGAGGCGGAGAGCGCGGGAGACTCCAACCAGGCGATGCACGACCCGACCGCCCCAAACGCCGAGAGGCTCCGCCGAGGGGAACGCCGCCCGCCGGGCCCGCTCTCAAACCACCGCTCTCAGACGCAGCTTCTGTCCCCTACATTGATGGCCGGGTCCACCAGGACCCAGGAAAGTTCGGAAAGATAGCGAAGCGGGGACCCTACTCACCGCAGCGAGGGGAAAGATGGCGGCAACCAGGCCACCGAGAGCGGAAGTCCGTGAAACCCCAGGCTACTCTGGGAATACATTTCCCAGAATTCCCCTGCCTCAGCTCCCTGTGCGGAAGCGTCCAAAGCTCTACGGGTCCTGTGAACTACAGTTCCCAGAAAGCCAGAGGAGAGCGCCGTCCGCACTCTCAGGCACCTCAGGCGGAAGTGCTCGAGACTCTTTGGAGATATTGGACTACAGTTCCCACGATGCCCGTGGGAACAAAGTTCACGTTGTTGACTTCATGGCGACAATATGGATACCTCCGCGGAGTGCTAGTGTTACCCTCTCCTGAATCTGTGAGCGGAAGATTTTCGATAGACACAGACTTCCTGAAGTCTAAAAGTCTACTGTGTACAGTACTGTTGGAAGAGTAAACAATGAGCCACGAGATAAAAAGTTAAAGGAAGGAACTGGGAAATATTCAATTTAGGGGCAGTAGGGAGCTGAAAGAAGGTGGGTAATGTTTGATATAAGCTGACTGCAGGAGAAGTAAAGCTGGGAGAAGAATGGGCGAGGTAGAATGGTTTTGGAGAGGCAATGATGTGCGAAGAAGGTATTAACCTCTACTTTTGACATAGTGGTACCAGCATATAATGATACAATCAAGAATCATGTAAAGTTACTAAACACCATTAGATGTAATGAAAATGCAAATTAAATTAGTATGAGGTATCACTACATTCTGACCACAAACGCTAAAATTAAAAGACAGAAAAAAACTTGGCAAAATGCCAACACTTTCATACTGTTCCTGGTACTGTAAAATGGCACAACCATATTGGAACGTTTTTTTGGAAGTATCTACTAAAACTAAATCTATTCATACCCCATAGCCCTTTGGTTCAACCCATACATACATTCAGCCAAAGACGTTTTCCAGTGTGCTCATACCAGCACTACTTTTAAGAGCCAAAACCTGGATCATCTGTATTAGAATGGATTATGGTAAATTTACACGTTGCAAAAATATTCACCTAAAAATATTCACCAATGAGAGTGAATAAAATTCATCTAGTCCCAACAGTATGACTGAATTGCATAAACATAATGTTGAGGAAATGTAGTCTGACACAAAATAGTAGATATTGTATGATTCCCTTTCTGTAAAATACAAAAACAGGCTCGGCAAATCTATCATGTTACAAGTTAGTGACTGCCATAGTAAAAGGGTTGTGATTAGAATGAGGCATCAAGGATGCTTCTAGGGTGCTGAATTTGTCCTGGTCCTTCAAGAAATGGACACTACGACATTAAGAATTTAATGAACAAGAATATTATTAAGAGAAAGGCAGGGAGTCAGGGGAGGCTAGAAGAACCATCTGACCATGATGCAAATGTGCCCCAGACTAACGGAGAACGGGAAGAAAGATTTGGTGGAATGATCATTTAGCTTTTTAAAGTATGAAACGTTCACCAAGGCCATCACGAGGTTCTTGGAGAAAAAATCATTGTAAAGAGGAATTCTGGTCTCCAGAAATGGACCTGCTGAGGTTCCCTATTGCATTAGTTGGGAGCATCCAATGGGAGATGGGCCTCTGAACAATGTGGTTTTAGAGCAAAGCAGCTGGGGCTTTTGGTCGATTGTGCTGTCTGTAATTGGATCTTTGGAAAGCAGAAGGCTGTCTCTCAATTTGAGTTTATCTGACGTTTCCTTATTACATTCAAGTTGTATATTTTTGGCAAGAATAATACAGAAGTAACATTGTGTCCTTCTCAGTAATCATATCTGGAGGCCTGAAATGTTGATTGTTCTATTGCTTATAATGTTAACTTTGATCTCTTAGCTAATGTGATGATCATCAAATTTCTCCACTGTAAACTCACTGTACTTACCTTTGTAATTAGTAATTTGTAGAGAGATATTTTGGACTATGTAATATTCTGTTCCTCCTCAAACTTTCACCTAATGTATTTAGCATTCCTTGATGATCCTCACTTGGACTAGTTATTACCATGATGATTGCCAGATGTTGATTTCTAATTCCATCATTCCTTCTACATTTATGAGTTAGAATTCTACTATAAGAATTGATACTTTTTTCTTTCTTGTTGTCTTTCTTCCATCCTTCCTTCCTTAAAATCTTTCTTCATATTACATTATAAACATTATTTATTTTGATGTTCTCAAATTTGTTCCCTCCTCTTGAGTGTGATTATATTATTTATTGAAATATAGTTTAGTTCATTTGTTTGTTTTAGAGTTTTTTCTTCTTGTTGTCTTAGCATGTGAGACATTAATATGGCTCTAATAGTCAGAACCTTATGAAAGGGATGATCAGAGAAATGTACTGAGGGCATCTTAATCCCTGCAGATGTCTGGAGGCAGAGCATCCTGGTGGTGGATCTTGCATAAGTGAAGTCATTTGGGCACATCTGCATACAAATCCAGCTTTGCCATTTATAGGTTTCTGACCCCAGGTGACTCACTTAAGCTCTTGAAGCCTCCATTTTTAAACATGAAAGTAGGGGTAAAAATAGTGTTACATTAGAGGAATGAAGATTAACTGTATGTTGGACACACAGCCCAATGCTTGACAAATAATTACTAGATAAGATATTCATTAACAATATTAATATCTAATAAATATTTTTGCAAACAAATTACAAGAGATCTTACACAGAAATGCTAAAATGTGTTAGTCTATGACTCATTTTCATGCTTTTTCTATACAGAGTCCAGTATAATTCTTGGGATGAAAGATTACTTGTAAGGTCTTTGTAAATTGTCCAAGTAAATTTGTGGATGAAACTCGTTCAGTAATTTAACATTTAATAGATTAATTCTAATGATTTGAAATATGTTTTCAAACGGTGCTCATTGGCTTTATTTACTTTTTTGTCACATCTTGATGGATGTGGAAAGTGATAAACTGAAATAATACATGTCTATCTGTTTATACACAAGAATGCTGAGAAACTAGAGTTCGCTGCTCTATAATATTGTTCTACTACTGATGATCTGGTTTGGTCCATTTGATAATAGATCGTGCAAACAAGTTGATGAGCTGTTAACTCTGTTAGTCTCCTTTTGAGAAGCATGAGGAAATGATAACAGGGTAATAATTAGAGGTTTTCAACTGTGGTTGAATTATCTGGACCCAAATACCAACAGTGCCCAAATAGGGAAACCCTGGTTTATAGGAAGCATTCTCCATCAGAGTGATATCACCCCCAGGGAGGGCATGTATGTTGTGGAATGAACAAAAATTCTACTTTTTGTGCATAAAGCAATTAGATATACATACAACACATAAACAGATATACAGTTTATCTATGATATTAAAATTTCACAGTGTAGGAGATTAGATTTTCAAAAGTTTAAAAGGCTCTTTAAGGAGGCTAATTTTTAAAAAAAGTTTAACAAACCAATATTGATCAAAAAATTTCTATCACTAAAAAGCACTTTCTATGTACAACATTATTTTAAGTACTTATAATTTATTTAACCCTGGGAAAATCTTAGGTAAATTCTATCCATATCTGCAATTGATAAATAATTAAACTAAACTAAAGCACAGAAAAGTAAAGCTTTTACATAGGATTGTTTGGCTAGTAAGATCTAGGATTTGCATAAGGAATTCTGGCTCAGGAGTCTACACTTAAAAGATTCTGCTCCTGTAGAAACACTCTTGGTGCCAAAATCCATATCAGTTAGGATTCAAGCATAGAAACAGAATCGGTAAGAGATATATACTAAGAGATTTATTGTAGTTTTTTCTAGAAGACTGACATCAGCAAGATTGTGGAATAGGAGTTTTCTACTGCAATCCCACCACAGTACATTAATTTTGACAATCACTCATGGATGACAGTACATTTGTAGGAGTTCAGGTTTCCAATGGAGAAGTGCCAGCACACTGCTGGAGCAACAAATCTGAGAATAGACACATTGAAGAGGGTAAGAACAGTTTCACTTTACCTGTGTCACCCCTCCCCCAAGGCAGTAGGGCTCACTGCCAAGAGAGATCTCATTGGCCTGAGATTTCTCCCATGGGGGAAAGTGAGACCATGTAAGTGAGTGCTCTGATTCCTTAGCTGTGTGAGATGCTGCTCAAGAGGCCCACTTCTTTCCTGCCCTACCCAGAATATTGAGGTGATCTTCACGGCTGAGGAGTTGGGAGAGGCTGGGAGCATAGCAACCAGGACTCAGAACTCATCAAAGTGACATAGATTCTAACTGCTTCACAAACTCAATTGGAAGCCTGCCCATGAGCTGCTGGCGAGGCCTCTCCTGCAGACTCACCAATTGGCCCATGGGCACTCCCAACACTCCACGCTCCTCATCCTCCCACTGCATGCCTGGCTCCCTGTGCCTGCCTGAGCAGATGTTGAGTGTGAGCCTTTGCAGACAGCTAG